AATCTAGTCTCTAATATGTTTATGTTTTTTACATGAATTCCAATGATTATCTAACTCGAGTTGAGCTGCTTGTTAAAAATACTTTCGTGATAGCTACAATTTTGTTTGTTTACCAACGAGAACGGATTAAGTACCTATAATCTATATTAGTGCACGTGACAGTAGTAAGGAAATCAGCGGCTGATTATAGGGGGTATAATAAAACTCCTTAATCGCTGACACGTGTCAACATGTGCAGTGTGCACGTGTTAATTAGTTCCACCTCCGCACTGCACCCAATAAAGTTAATTTCACATTTTGATTTATTAAAGGTGGTCGAACATCATGAGGGGCATCAGTCATCCAACTTTGGAAGGCGCATTAACGATATTAACCCCAAAATCAATATAGAAACGTAAGATGGCTGAAAAAAGCGTGCCCGGATTGATTTTATCAGTTGTTGCGACTATCCTTCTCCTTATCCCTCTATGTCTGTGGAATGTTAAAGAATCTGTCGTCCTTGTGAGTTATTAAAAAAAGCAAAAATCAAATTGAGTTTTGAATTTCCTCCACGTCACATTGTACTAAACCATTTTTTGATGCCCTAAGAAGAGCGTGTTCATTGTTAAAAGATAATGAATTTCCTAATTTCTAAGGTCCTTTTAGCATTCCTGGCTGTTGGGCTGTGTTCTATCATTAGGCTTCTCGTCGTACTCAACGCAAATGGCAAGTACTCTTTTATAACATCAAGTATAAGATAGATTTAGACATGTCTTTCTATATTTAAAGTATAGCTTTAAGTTTACATACTAATTACGAACTGTTAGTGTTAACCTAATAAATTAACAACTTTTAACTAAGTAAATTGCAATGCTTATTTCCTGTCAGGAACGGAGATAGGACTAGGAGTCATCAATGACAGTGAGAACTTTTATAATATTATAATGATTAGAACTAAAATATAGCTCAGCCAGGAGTGGAACCGTTCTAGTCATACTAATTCCAATAGACTACAGCTCACGTTGTTCAAATATACGATGAATGAAAATAAATTAATAAATTATTGTTATTAATATTAATAATAATACATATTTGTTGCATGTTTGTTATTTCAGATAAGAAGATGGTTAACATGCTCGTCGTTGCAATCGCGGCAATTTCTGGTAAGTTAACCTGACTAAACAGTGTAAAAGTTTAAGGTAAAAATGAAAAAACAAGAATTGAAGTTTAACCAACTACTTGATCAGACCGATTCACCTAGCTACATGTGCATACGTCATCTGGTTGTAGGTTTACAACCTACCAGGACGCGCGCCGAGTTGGACTCGTCAATGACAATATATGGAACAGATATTTTACGAGTATCACCCGTTAAGTCATCTGGGAGCCGTCAGTTGAGCTTGCTCTCTGACTCGTGGGTTGAAAACATCGTGTAAAGTACTTCGTGAGTAGTACAGTACTTCACAACGATAATCCGCCTCCCCAACCAAATATCTTAGAATTGAACCACATACCTTCTGTTTTCTTTTTCACAATTACTAATTATTAGTATTTAAATTACTAATTATCAATTACTAATTACTAATACTAATTTCTGCTCATTCAATAGACATTGTAATTTTTAAGGAGTATCATTTCAGGTTTGTGTGCCTTTGTTGCCTTCATCTGGTTGACTGTTGAAATAGCGAAATACAATAGCCGCAAAAGCAACCCCAGCATCAGTGCGACATTCTATTTCGGATACGCGTGTGTAGTTGCCTCTGTTGTTGCAAGCATTGGTAACATTGGGCTAGGATTTCTTGATAATGATACGCGTGAATAGTACAATGCTTCTTGCGATTCCTGGAACACGTGATGGAACACGTGCTGGAAAACGTGCTGTGGAATCCTGTTCTATGCTCAATTTAACTTGTAATGATAGCATGGACAAACTCTTTACTTTTAGTTAGGATAGCATAGCCATAACTACTATGTAAATGTTATAATTCTATCACTAGTATCGTATTAAAATTACGTAGTGGGGAAGTGAAACATTACGTGGGGTTCTGTTTATATGTTTAATTGGGTAATAACAATAGAATTTTTAAACAGCATGTGTTTTTTAGGTTCAATGCTTTACTGAGTTTGTGTGGCAAAAGGATAATACATTTTGAATATATCTTGAATTTCTTAAATACATCTCTGTCGTGAATTCATAAATATTTGATTAAATATTGTGTGTTTATGTTTAGTATTAGAAGTATATTTACTGTTGAATTGTCCAGCCTTCGAGGACAATTCATATGTGCTATCATTGGGGTGGCAGGGGGTACCATTGGCATAAAATTGCATCAAATGGCATACATTTTTATGGCATAAATGGAAATTTTTATTGGCCAATTCTCCATTATGCCAATTTATGCCATGAATTTAGGTCTTCATATTTGACCTTTAGGATGACTTTAAATTCGCAAATTATTATTAGTACTTGAATAAGAGACATGTTTCATGCTTTATAACGCTTGGAATGATCGTTAAAGATTCATATGACAAATAAAGAAAATAGAAATGTATTATAATTATATCAAACATATACCAAACATTTGACTATTCAAGAAAAGCAAATTGTGAGATGTTCAAAATGTACAGAATACAAACATTGACAACACAACGATTTTGAATGTCATCAAAGAACAATGCATCTGATGTATTTGTCTTCGACGAATAGCCAAACATTAGGAGATCCATTAATTAGGCTATGCTCCTGGCAGTAGTACTTCATCGGGCATGACTTATAAGAAATAAATCTAACCACTCCTGTTGCAAAGTCCTGCTGAGATTTGAAGACTTTAAGAGTTTCTGTACTGCCAGCTTTCAAAACTGTTGAACATCCGCATTCAGGTTGATTGTATATGCGAACATCAGAAGACACTCCAAACGCGTCCCCCTTGAAGATTTTGTTGATAAAGTGCTTCTTCCTCCATTGAGCGTGAGTGTCTCAAAAGACCGGAAGGAAAGTGTTCCATATTTATCTGTTGATATCGTTTCTCCATCATCACAATCATCAACTCCAGGTTCGTCCTCATCCTCGAGGCATCCAGCTTCATCATCTACAGCTTCCCAAGGAAGTACTTGGCCATGGACGATTGGCTTCCCACTCTGTTCTTCAGGATCAGCGACTGCGGCGAACACAGGGAAATTGTTTCTTAATCTTTTCCCTTCTCGAATGCAGTCCCTCGATGCCCTGACCAGCGTTTTTGCCAACTTGCCTAGGCTTATCATACCACCAGTCCATTTCACTCGTTCTGCTTTCTGGCCTGTAGATTTAACCTTTTTGAGGTGAACTGTAGGATGCAAAACTGTACTTCCACGTGCATGTGCAATTGCAGATGTGTCTTCATGTAATGATAATCATAAAGCACTGTACACATTCTTTCTCTCCATTCTATGGGCCATAGTTATCGCATCCATATTTCTTGAGCAACCAGATGAAAAAGAAACCCGAATAAATGCAAACAACACTTCGGTCATTTCCCAACATCTTCGCGAACCACCACCTTACATCTGCCGCATTTCCACTTGTTGCATGAGTATGTCTTGACATGTTTATCCTACAATGATTATACTAGATTATCGTTAACTAATTAAGGAGTGCTATGTTGCTATGCAGCAGTGAATATGAAGATATTTAAGCAATATATTATGTCATCATCATTTTTTTATAATAGGAAGCAAGTCTTTCAGGTCATTTGGTGATGGGTTATGTAATACTAATATACAGGTTCATCGAGATATGATCAATGAATATTATTTTTAAGAGGCTACCCATTCGAAACATGTTTACAGATCATTATCAATCTTATGAAAATGTTCAAATTTCAAAACCTTCAACATGAACACGGTCCCGACACGATACATCTGTACACATCATTAACAAATAATATTTTAATCGAGTTGGTAATGTTACAGTTGTCCACTGTTAATTTGGATATCCGATTGACTGGGAGCATTCAGTCGACTGTCCTCTCTGTTATACGGTGTATAGCGTGTACTATGCCATACTGCCCGGTCACTTGTCCACTATCAACCAAATTCTCATATCATATTGATATATACATTGAACGTCATTATAATCAATAATGCCCATTGCTAGGGTATTTTGAGGAAATTAATGGGTGAAAATAGATGTTGTGGTACAATAAATAAAGATAAAGGTGGACAGTACTAGTGGGGTGCAGACAATTCGTTATTAAATTCTCAGTTCAAAGTTTTAAAATTTCATATTTCGAATGGCATAAGATGGCATAAAATTTCATGGCATTAATGGAAATTTTTTTGGCCAATTCTCCATTATGCCATTTATACCATTGGTACCCCCCGCCCTACTATAATTGAGTCAAGTAAAGAAGGGGAACAGTTTTGACAGACAACAGAGATGCTGGAATGGAGACATGAAAGTAGGAAAAAATTGGTACACAATTACAACGTGTAGCAATTAAGTTGTGTTTGAGATGATTGAATGGGTACTACCCTACTGGGTAGCAGGGTAGTGTTGCTCTAAGCATACTCTTCTCCGCATGATCCACATATTCTCATGATGCTCATTAGCTTAATTATTGATTGTGTTACAGCAAATTGAAATACATTATCTTTCGCCGCGATTTTGCCTATAATTTTTGACTTGTCGCATAGTAAAACTAAAATGTTCATTGTCCATTTTTTCAAAAATAAAACCCGAAATTTAGGAAGATGAATTATTCATCAACAACAATAAAAATATTATGTATTATTATTAAGATGTCACAAGTCACCGGTCGTATTTAGTAAAACAATTAACCGTTGACGTGAGACGTAATATTCAATAGAAACTAAAAATCTGTAACTCTGCAAGTTCAAAGTCTGCAAGTTTAAGCTTAAGAAAGAATTTCACTTCTCAGTCATGAAGCAGTTAATTTTGGCTTACCTTATCGTTATTAATAAGTTAAAAGACCCCGCTAACTGATAAATATATTGCAAAATCAATCGATGAGTGTCAATGACAATAAGTCTTCAGACTTAAATCGGAAATATCGCCTTTATTGGGAACATTACTAATTTTCCAATGCAGTAATCATTAGCCAGGTAATATTAATATTATTATAAATTACTTGTAAAAGAGTTTACTGAACTGAGAGTTCGATAACATTTGTTTAGGTGCTTCATCACGACTTATAGCTTTAGACCTGCTTTCTGAGAGGTTACCGAGTGTGCTATTACTATCAGTCAGGGAATTAGAAGCAGCCGCTTTATTTTCGGTCTTTACTTCGTCTGATTGTTTAGTCTTAGGTTTGCTGATAGCTCGCGGAATCATGAAGTTCATCTTCATTTTCCTCTTAGTGCCGTCTTCAGCTTTCTCAGAAATCAAAGAGGAATCAGAGTGTTTTGGTGCAGCTGATTTTCCCGGAGGGTTTGAAATAGCAACGCTCATTTTCCTATCTCCTATCATATTATCGTTTAGTTCAAGAATTGCTTTCTTAGCGGATTCGCTGTCCGAGTACTCAACGTAAGCAAATCCCTTGAACTTTCCACTCTTGGTAGTTACCATTCTAAGACTTTTGATATCGGAGATTTTACCGAACATGTCTCTCAACTGAGATTCAGTTGTTTCGTAGGGAAGGTTATTGATAAACAGTTTGTGACTTTCCATACCCATCTTATACTTGAACTCCGTTTTATCGTCAGCAGTCTTTTCTTTGCACTCGTTAACGTAACAAGGTCTGTTCAGCACAGGCACTCGGTCCATCTCCAGAGCAGCCATCACCTCTTCTCTTCTGTGGAACTCAACGTATCCGAACCCTCTAGACTTGTTGTTGACGCTCTTCACCAGTCTGATGTCCACGATACTGCCCACGTGCTTAAACGTGTTGTTCAGATCATCCTCTGTCGCATCGTACGACAAGTTACTGACGAATATAGTCAGAGGGTATTTGCTCTTGTCAATTTCTGTTGAGTCTGTGGCGGGCTTTTTAGGGAAAGACGTTTTCTCTGACTTTTGGTGTTTTGTTTCATAACTTTAGTGTCCTTCTGATTCTCGGGTTCTGATGAGATTTTTCTTTTCTTTGACGAGGCTGGTTTATTGTCGTGTTTGTTCTTTTGATCGTTTTTACTTTTACCAAAACCTTCTTTAGCGTTCGGCCTGCTCTTTCCTTTGTTTTCCGATGATCTCTTGTTTTGAAGAGCCAACTTTTCGGCTTCCTGAAAGTTATCTAAATTGACGATTATGGTCGAAAGTGTACACTGTACAAACGACACCTTTAAAGAACTGACTATATTCACTAAAATAGTGAAATAAACCAACCTTCGCTGATTTTTCGTCAATTTTCTTCTGCTGTCTCCGACACTTCACTGCTGTGTTATCGAACGTTTCTAGCGTACCTGTCAAAAATACTACATAAAACGGAAAGAAGTTGAGGAACAGGTTAATGAACTTGCTTTTTCTATAACGCTAATAAAAATATTATATTTATATTGTGTGAACCAAAAACAACTTGCGACAAAATAACAGATTTTATGGTTAAGTTGGACCCATACCATGAACACTCTCAAAGTTCAGGAATCTCTGAATAATCATCTGAGGATTGTCTGTGTTACATTGAACTGCTTTCTGGTATATCCTCCTAGCCTCTGTGATATCACCAAACCGTAGCTCCAGTGCGATATACTTCAGCCACAAACCTGACAAGCATAGGATGTAACCTTGAAAGCAATCGAGTAGAGTCGATAAAAAAATGCACGAATTTGCTTGTTCGTATTTTTTGTATTATTTTGTGAGAGAAATGTAAAATTGTAAGGTAATAAACTTGTAATTTTGTGATGTACAATTATCAACTCACTGGTTTGTTCTTTGTAAATCTTGGATTCAAAAAGTCCCGACATCAAAACTCGAAAGCTTTGTACGTCATCTCTCAATCCTCGCATTCAGCCATGAAGAACGTTAACTCACCTAAATTCACGTCGTTATAAAATCAACCCAAGAAAACATCAAACCCATAGTTTAAAAGAGCGAAGTATTTACATTTGAGACAATTACTGAACATACCTTGAGGGTCTCCTTCTTCTCCAAAGGTCTGGTTGATGAAATTAATACCCCGCTGAAAAGCTGCGTTCAGAGGGTTGTTATCTAGATGCTTCTCGGATCCGTTTGTATTGAGAGGCTGGAACCGTTCCTGTCTCCAGTGACACGACAGATAACACCTCCAGAGGGATAAGTGGCTGGCTGAGTCCTGGAAACCGTTCTTCAGTGCTTCTTCCAACGTCTCTGGGTATAAAGAGTATCATTGCTTTCATAGTTTTAGCTATTCTATTTTCATTATTTGACTTTTTGCTGATTGTGGTACATTCTATTTGTCATACAAAGGTCTTAAAATCGCATAAATACACATTGTTGCCACGATGGAACTCTAGACCGTTATATTTGAGGAACAAACAATTCTGAAAATCAGTTGATAATTATTACATTAATAATAATATGAAATCAATAAAATCAAATCAAATCATCAAAACTTCCAGCGATTTCTATAAAACTGAAGAAAGGTTGGATTTGTTGAAGAATAAATAAAAGGATTAATAACGACGTTTAACATCTCAAATATCTCCTCAAAAAGTGCCAATTTTGGGTGCAAACAAACACCAAGATACTAAAAAAGATGAACTAGAAATACCGGAACAATACTAATTATGAAAACAACGGCAACTGAAACTACAGTCACAGTGCTTTTGTTCCTCCGGATGAAGTTCCAGAATCTTCTTTTTCCAGGAGCACTTAAACCACTGAGACTATGAGATTATTTAATTGTACTAACCGTCAATGTGGGAGAAGTGAAGCTGGTAGCGTTGCTGAGCTAGCATGTATTGAGTCCACACTTCTACTATCCAGGGAACATTCCTTACTGCTCTACTGTACGCTAATAACACCACACTTTTCACTTTTAGGATTTGGTCCTGAAACATTTAAAGGGATCAGTTTTATGATCTCTTTGCTTGTTTTTATTATTTTCGTCCGTCAAAGATTTTGAATTGTTCCAAGCTTTCAAAATATCAAGTAAAACCAAAAATAAAACAATGAATTGTAATGGCTGTTCCGATCCCTGGAGGTAGGGCCCAGCGTCCCCAAACTCACCAAGTATCTGAGGTAGTCGACCCATCTGTTGGAGTTGAGAGGATTGTCTGTAATAGCTCTCTCCATTAAACAGATGACTCTAGCAGGGTCACCGTGTTTTCTCTCATGCTCGATATAGTAGAAATACTCCTCCTCGTGTGGAGGCGCAGTGTTATCCTGAGAAGAAGACACTGTAACACTGTGCAACACTGTACAACACTGTTACACAATTGTAACACTGTAGCACGAGTATAACACTGAATATAGGCAAACAATCAACGCAACGGTCCTTGAAGATGCAAAGTGCAATAGTAAATGTCAACAATGAAAACTTAGCTAAGTTGCAGATAAGTTTATACATTTCTTGATTGTAATTCTATAAACAAATGAAAGATCTTACCAGCGCTTGTTCGTAAGAGGTGACAGCTTGAAGTTTCTTGAGGGCTGTTTCGTATCTGTTTTGAAGGGCAATAGGAATGTCAGCATGAGCCCCTCCTAACCAAGTCTTATACTCTGACATTGCATACTCCAAACCTGAAGAGTAGAGAACACTAGTTTCTATCAGTTGTAATTGCTAACACGTCCTTACACAAAGTAGCCCAGTAGTAGATTAAAATATGAGGCCTGCACTTGTAACACCTATCATCATTCGGTCAACACACACCTTTAACTGCTACAACAGACAATGTATTTGAAACGAACCGTTGAGAGGAACAGCAAGTTGTCTTTGAAATAAGTTGTCCACCCTGCTTCTCTGTTTGTTATATAGGTCCTGTAGGAACTCCTTCTCAGTACAGTTGTCCTCCGCAAGCTTCTCTTTTATAGTTTGTAGGAGTGTGTCCTCATACTGCCTGTACTGATCCCACAGCTCGCTACCCTGGTAACACCAGTAAGTAGGTTATGTTTCTTTATGTATTAGCTAAATAAATCATCTATCCAAGACAATATGTAGTAGGAGGCCAGGGGTAGGAGGGGGTTAAGAGGGAAGGGGGGGGTTAAGAGGGGAGGAGGGGGTTAAGAGGGGGGTAGGGGGCCAGGGGTAGGAGGGGGTTAAGAGGGAAGAGGGGGTAAAGAGGGGAGGAGGGGGTTAAGAGGGAAGAGGACTGTATAATGATTCCACACAAACCTTTGTCACGTGAAGCCCAATGGCAGATAGAGCTTGCTCAAATATCTCTCTAATCCTGGTCTCTTCATAGTCCAGGACACTAGTTGCATCAGAACAGTACTGACACCACAACCTCACCGCTGGGAGAGAGGAGAGGTCAGAAAACATTAACAAACCCCTTTAGCTTTATTTTGCTCGCGTATTTTGGTATATTTGGATAGATCGTAAACTTTGGTTGCTTTCTAGCTAAAATTATCCGATAAGAATTCATTTCTCTGATACTAATTTGACCGATGGTTTGACATCCCATATTTTACTGATCATGATTTGCTGACCAGTCACAGCATGATTACAAACCAAGAAATAAGCCGATCAAATTAGTTTGTATCCGGGGCGAATAATTGAACACTTACTTTAGTAACTAGTGAGATAATTAGGGTGTGTAAATGGTGAGCAGGAGATCGCCCTATTTGCAGTTTCTACTTTGCACTCAAGTTAGTAGCGGATAGTATCTCTTTAAATATATTGTTTAAGCTTCTTTATACGGATATCAGGGGATATGAGGTTAGCTTCTTTATCTGATGACAAAGGAAATACAAAACAGTTTTCTTTTAATTTAACATGTTAATTTATAGAATCTTCATACCGTATAACAGTATGAATAAAGTGTAGATAACCGAGTACAGTTTAAATCTTCTTCCTTATTCATTTCACGTGCAATTATAAACTAACTCTGCATTATTCTGCAGGTCGAAATCTGGAAATAATGATAGAAATAACAACCTATCTGATAAAACTGCGCCCCTTTCAACGGAATTAGAGAATAATCTTAGTATTAGAGGTAAACTTAATTATCACATGGACACCATAATCCATATACATTATACATAATTAAACGTATCCAAATTTATTGACATTCGATTATCTGATACTAATAATAGACGACAATTGTTGAGATCAATAATCAATATTCATTTCTAGTTCATCCAATGCTTATATAAACTGTCAAAACGGATGTCGATCTAAAAATTCACACTCTTAATTTGCAATTACGGCTTTGGTGGCACATTAATTTAGTCACTAGATTATTTTTGACGCTTCCTTTGGCAATTGGCATGAGTGTTGTTTGTTGCCTGTTTGTTGAAATGATACCCTACGTAAATTCTTTTGTAGATGTCCTGCGTAAGCGGTCAAGTAAGACAGGATCCTACTCTAGCAACAGTTTGAGTATCACATCACAGAGCTCATATGATATCTTGACACCATCCAGTGGAAATACTTCACCCCCATCAACTGTTGTAAGTATTATGAAATAAGCTCTAAGTAGAGCCCCGAGATTCTTATTTCTTATCCTGACTTTCTGTTTCTTTATCCACGAGGAACTTTTCAATAAACTCTTTTTTAATTCCAGGACAGCGGGACACCTATTTTCAACACGCTCAGAAAAGATGACAGTTCGAGATCCGGGAGTTTATCAGGAGAATACCTTCTGTCTAACAAAATACCCAAATTTACTGCAGCTGAGCTGAACGAAACGAGGAAAGAATCTGTGGAATCCAAGGCCTCAGAAAAACATTCCAAGTCCCGTAATAAACCCCAGAAGTCATTGAACACAGAACACATTCCTGAGTATATTTCAATTGATGAACCAAAATCTAACGGGTCCCTATTATGTCGGACTGTTTCAATGTCCACCGTTAAAAGTTGCCCTTCCACTAAAAAGAGACCTCTAAGAATCTCCGAACTCTTAACCGACTATAATTCAGAACTATTGGAAGAGGTACCACTATCAGAGAAGAAGATAACAGTTCACTCAAAAAGCTACAAATCATTTAGACAGTCTTACAAAAACATAACGGAGCCTAAGATTTGTCAGAAACACGTGACAGGTGCTACCGGGGTTCGTGGAACAACTTCGTTCCAGTCGTCCTATGAGAAGTGGAAATCAACTACTTCTCATCGGCCATTCGGGAATGGTTTTGAGAGGAAACCGTTGAGTTTGTCTGGTGATTCGAGCGATAGCGGTGATGAGAACGGTTGTCAAAATTTTAATAAGGATATTAGGGACAATTATTTTGTAGCGAAGATCTCCTATAATGAATCAGAGACTGAATCAGAATCCGGTTTCAACAGTGAGGAGAGAAATAGTAAGGACTATTCCCTACAATCATTCGTTGCAGTGATCAATGCAGGTTCAGATAGTGAGGAAGATTCGTCAACCAGCGAGGACATCTCCCCTTCAAATCAGAGACACACTTCTTTAAACAGCCCCAAATCTCATGGTCTATTTATCAACTCTGGGATAAACTCAACTTTGTGTGCTCAAGTTGTACCAGCCAAGAAACTTTTCCACAACGTCAGAGAGCGACAGTTAAAACAGAACTCGCTGCTCAAGGAGAAAGTATTGGATCGGAGAAACAGTCAGATCAAAACACCACCAGCTAATTTAATTATAGATCAACCAAAGGAAGAGATGTCTCCTTCTGACCCGCATGTTGAAAAAGATGAAGAAAGTAAAAAGGGGTTCACCACACCACCAGTCAAGAGAACTTCAAATATTCCAAAACCTTGCAGTTCTACTCCTAGTCCGGCTACTCCTAGTCCGGCTACTCCTAGTCCGAATACACAAAAGAGGTTGAAGTTGAAACTTTATAAGCCCATTACAATAAAACCCTGTCCCATAGACAGTAACTCACCAGAGAGAAACAAGCCTCGGAAACATAGTAAATCAAGCAGAGAAAACACTCCTCAGACTTCAAGAAAAGAATCAAGCGGAGAGAACAATCCTCAGACTTCTAGAAAAGAATCAAGCGGAGAGAGCAATCCAAAAAAAGGGCGAGAGAAAACTCCTCAGACTTCTAAAAAAGAAAGAGACAGCACTCCTCAGACTTCTAAAAAAGGAGGAGATAACACTCCTCAAACTTCTAGAAAACAAGGTAAGACAGCTCCCCAGACTGGAAAAGAATGTCAGAGTTCTAAATCTTGTGGTCGTACAAAAACTGGGTCAATTCAGGAAAGAATAAGATCGATAGAAGAATCTCTGAAAACTCGGGGTAGAAAAGAAGTGCCGATTGGTGGAGCTGCAACCGACAAGAGAAGCTCGCTCGGATTACCTCCTAAAACACCAAACTCAGTCCGATTACCTCCTAAAACACCAAAATGTCGGCGAGTAAGGCATTCAGTGGACACCACAGGGACAGTTGACAAGGTTTTGCAGGGCACCGTCTTGTTCAATGATTGATCAAATGTGGGAACAAGTTCAAACTTGCTAGAAGGATAACTTGGTGCACAGACAGTCATGTTACACTAAGCCAAGTTGCACCCAAAAAGGACGATATTATTTGAAAATACTGATTTTAAAGTGCAGTTGGTAATATTGAACCTTTTTTTACGTGGCCCTTTGCCCGTGTCAGATAGATATTTATGTTTTGAATTCTAAATTTATATTTTTGTTTTGATCAAATTAGTGGTAGTGAATTATTTCTAAATGTCTATAAATTCTTCATAAGTTAATCTGTTTGGGAATTGTCGATTTGGTATCACTAAATAACTTCAATTTTGTTCATAATCATCACAAAGAAACTGTAAATTGAAAGTAAAAGAAACTAAAAAGACTCACATGAGTAGTCGTTGACAGCCCTGGAGTAGAGGTTCCTGAGGGTGTCCCTGACTCGGGTCGGATCCAGAGGGAGAAAGAGGCGTTCCTGCTTGATCCAGGCTAGCCACATCTCCGGAGTGAGGGGGAAAATACCACTCATCCGCTCTCGGACCTGAGAAATGAGATTATCAGTGATTTGTATTGCACAGAAACGTTTTTCCAGGGTCTCTGAATTTGATTTTATATCCGATATTTACAACACTTTACTTCTAAAACAGAGAGAGAGAGAGCGAGAGAGAGCGGTTTGAACAGTAATTGTCCCTCTTGCGCAACTTAGTACTTTGAACGGGATCGATAATTTGTTGTAACTAAACGTTTTAAAAATTAGTTAGAACCAAATTTTCCTAAATTTATTGAGAACGAATTTTGACCATCTGTTTTTGCTGGTTATACGCCAAGTTATACGATCAGACACAAAGGCCCCTAGCAGTCTAATCAACATCAGGCCAGGAGTTAGAAAGGTTATTGTTTTGAAAAAGAGAGACAGATGTGGAATTAATTTTAAAATAATTACCAGCACCACCTGCACCTGTCATAAAAACCAAGTTTCGCGACAAATCATTTATTTTCTAACTTTCTCAATTTTGAGCTAAGCTCCAGAGTTCCAGAATGATGCGAGGTTTGCTAGTAGTATGTTCTCTATTGGTGGCGTTGTCCCTGCAGCTACCCATGACTAAACGGGATGTTATCCTGATAGAGCGAGATCTGGGCTACTTCTGGGATATTATCTCTAAGTTCTACGAGTTAGGTAAGAGGTTCTCAGTATTACAAACTAGCGCTGCAATCATCCTGTAGCGTTTTCAAAGAATAGTAAACATACAATTTAAAATTCATTTGCGAGACAAATTCACTATGAGATGAATATAGCTCTATTCTAATTTCCAACAACCAGGAAAGGACACGGTCTGTCACAAGAGTCTGATTGAGATTTTGGAAATGCTCAGTTTGCCAGGTGCCATGCTACATGTAGTGAACGTTGCAAGACAGACATTCTGCGGAGGATACTACGACTGAAGCTAATCATGAAATTGTTAAATGTAATTAATTAATTAATTATTTTAATTGTAATTAATTATATTAATTACTTTGTAATTAATTACTTTGCATCACAATGTTAATACAAAGGCGACAAAATATTAAATACTCTTACAGGACCTGTCTGGTGTATCATATTTCACACTTGTGTCAATAAACGGAACAAATTTTCGAACAAAATTGGCATAGATTAGGCACCAGTGGTTTCGTAAAAGTTTGGCAAAGTGCCATAATTTGTTGGTTATTTCCCATCTTGTCATGAAGTTTTACAAAATATTCTTAATGATACGGAAGCCATTACCTCATGAACTAGATTTACTGTACCTATACCTATCTCAAGAAGTGTTCTGCAAGCCATAACAACAGCTCACACTTTTCCAACAATAAATCAAAGATATTAAATCAATATGATTATCAGGGTGCAATTGGATAGAGATATAAATCGGGTGCTAACTGTTTTCCAATTAACAATCACCTGGTATGACGTGATGATAACTGGCAGTGCTAATTACTATTGTTTTATTCAGTAGCAGACTTGGGGGAACCAAACTAATCCGGCCCCCAGAGAGATCGGATCATGTCATCCAATCAGTGACGATTAATTTTATTTGAAATTATTTTATTTTGTGCCTGGTCACCTGCTAGAGCTTGATCGGATATAAACCCGCCATTATTTGGTTCCAGTTTGAATAGTCATGGAAATTTTGTAAAATCGTCAACCAATGAAATGGTTGAACATTGAATTGATAGTATCAAATAGTTCTCAATTAGTCTTGTGTGGCTTCATGCAATGTGTCTAAATCAATTTGAAGCAGAATAGCTCCACCTCGGTAATCCGATAAAATCTTTTTTCAGATGTATTTTCAACAGATATCCGGCCAAATTTACAGCATTTTTGTATGCTGTCTTCTTCTGGTCACGTGTGCTCCAACATGAATCAGAAGTTACTGGTCATATAGTAGGTACTGTCAATTTCTGTTTACTTGTGCCAGCCCTTAAACCAGTCTCAGCATTTTCCCAGCTTAAACATTCTTTGTTGCCATTGTTTGATTTAATTTTATCCCTGTATCATTCTGTATTATTTAATAGAAGATTCAAATCAAATCACGTAGTGGGTCACTTATTTATATAGTTGCACTGTACTGTGTAGTATGGTAAGTTGTTTTTCCCTCAAATATCATCTTCTGTTTCAAGTAAACAGTTTCTCGTCATTACCCAGTTACAGTCGGGGAACCAGACACAAATTGGGGCCTACAAAGCCGCGCCCAGTTCAATAGTTATTTGCCGGTTTATATTTGATAGATACCAGATCTAGCTCATCTTGTGGTGCCCTCCATTAGTCTTTACAACCCAAGTCTACAGTGCCTAATCGTTAGAGATAACGGTCAAATCGGTACCTTGCTATGAAGTTGTAGAACAATAGGGGGTCTACAGGAATACAGCATCCACCAAATATAAACAATGACCATGTAGGTGCTTAGTACAACTCTATTTAAAAGGGTCACGCGACAACCGTGGCGACGTGGAATGTTGACAACATCAATGTTTCTACCCTTGTTGGCCAGGGTTGTTTAGATGGCTTGCTGTTGATTCCAGTATAGACACTTTAAGCAGTAAAGCTATCACTCTCACCACGAAGTTATCAAGGCATAACCACTGTGGTCATTATAACTTTCTACTCTATACTACTGTTTATGATATTAGCACGCACTAAGGGCTGCTCATCAGTCAACCAGCTACAATTTCTTTTGTAAATACCGCCTGTTTCAAAGCATGTTATCTATTCTATTTCACTTATTTATTTATTACAAATGTATAAATAAAAATATATACTTTGCTTACCTTCACAGGTCACAGCAATGGCTCCACTCATAGTTGCACCTATGGCCCGATGTAATGACCAGTTTACTCGTCATCAGCTAGTGTCCCTTATTTTGATTACACTTGGTCACTTCACACTTGTCAAGGCATTTTTATGGGTCTTCCGGAGAAATTTTTATTTTATTTCTGATAAAATGTTGTAAATTTGTGTAACAATTTGAAAGTTGATTAATTAACAAGAAATGCGGCCGCTTTTCTTTTGTGGATGGCCGCTCAATTTCCCGATCTGTGATGGCGTATTTATCATATTCCATACAACCTGGGGACGGCCCAGTCTTTACTGTTTATATAAACATGCAAATATGGCGAAGTGACATGCCGACTGCCGCCCAGTTAATATAATTCTATATTGAATTTGAAAATCGTGTATACTTCTATGTAACCATATGTTTATTGTTTATGCAACCTGTACCTGACACGGATCTGTGCAAAATAGTAATACTAACTCAAAATAATAATAATATGCTATTAATTAGTGCCTAGTGGGATACGTACATGATAAAATTAATAATGTACTTGGTTGGTTCAGCGCCGCGCGCCAACAATTATATAATTCAGATTGTCACGCAAAATAACTTTGCGCAGGTAGTCACGTGGGCGATAACAGTGCTCGCAGGCACGTACGGTCGCACACACGGTCGCAAAGCTACCATATTAAAAAAAACCTCGATCGCTAACCCTTGTCCTTGACTCTTTTGTGCCTTCGGCACTTTGAGTCATGGATCGGGAAAAAATAGCCCAAACGTTATAGTGAAGTACTTGTAACAAGGACTCAGGAATGTGGAAATTGACAATACTCCCTTCGCTCACAAAAAAGCATCAGCTGCTGCACGCAACTCATTTTCAGAGAGCTGGAAGACTCTGGAATGTTCTCCCAAAAATTTTCAATACTCTGGCAAGCATCAAGACATTTCTCCAAAACTTCCTGGACACCCTTCCAGACAAGCCCCCTATCTGTGCACAGATAATTAATCGCTTTGATCTGTGATCGTTGGTGTCTAATCGTTTTCTTTGAATATGGCTGGAGCCTTGCATACAACTGAGAATACAAAAACCACTAATTAAATCGTATATTATAACGTTTGCGTCCTCTTATTCTTACTCAAGCATTCCCTCTCACATTTCTTATTATCACCAATAATCTAACATATTGGTCTAACAAGAGCTTTATTTTGCCAGTATCATTGCAAGATTCCGTTGTCATCGCTTACAATTATAAGCCAACATTTCACATAACTGCGGTATTAGTGGGGATCAGCCTTTGACTCCCATAAAGTTGTTTCATGAATCTAAGCCTGGTAACCAGGCTTTTAGCAACCATCTTGCCAAATCTACAATCAAGAGAGGATCTGCACGTTCTGACAAGGGAACCCGCAAACTTCCTATCTATGCGAACTAAGCTGATTGTTTGTCAAGGCACTCATCAGATCTTTTGACCGTCCAAGAGCAAGGCTGCTTCTCGATTGTTATGTTGCTGCTCGTGGAATTGTCAAATTGCACAAATGCGCGCAAAAGACCGTACGTTACTTCTATAAATCTGTTTGGAGTTCGCGGTTAAGATTTTGCCTCTCGGACTGTGCCAGTTTGTGAATGGGGAATATATTTTCAGTAACCTTGTTGCCACTCTTTGGACATGTTCAATGCAGATTAAGTATGAATTCTAACATAACAAAATTGTAACTCAAATGTACTCCCTCATTTGTAGAGCATTTTGAAGAGCAATATTTTATTAAACTTAAGACTAAGAAAGTGTCTAACCTCTCTACATCGGTCCACATCGCCACCCTTATTGAGAAGGTTCAGTAGTTCAACATGTGTTCCATAGTCGTACGGGTTTGCTACAATCTGAAATAAATATCATATCATAATCTCATATAGAATTGTTATCAAAACTTTCAGAATATGAAATGTATTTGAAACTTAAATTAAAACGTGCTCCAGTTAAAACAGAGGACCAGTAATTCTTAGAGATAAAATCTGTAATACATTTAATTTATTCAACGAATATGAATTTTTGAGGCCGAGAATTAAACCACAATTAACTCGTGTAGGTGATATATGGTAGTGTTAACTGTTGAACCCTGGGAGCTGGAGGGGGAGAAGAATGTTGACACTGTCTCCGTCACCGCATCTCAACCTGCTCAGCTACTTTTTGGGTTCCAAGATCTCGCCAGCGACTATTTTCAGGTATGAGATTAATTCTAAATTTTAGGTGAGGTATGGTCCAATTTTATTGCTTATCAAAATTAAAGATATTTAACTGTCTGACCGTACCATAGATTTCTTTATTTTTAATTTCTTATTATTATTGATAATCTAATGCATCTCCCGGCAGGTACTACAACAGAAAAGCAGACCAAGATTTTGCCGAATCATATGGGCCATCCTGATTTTTACACTAGCTGGTTTCACCTGCTATCTATCCTACCGTCTCCTGACCAACTACTTCAAGTACGACTCTTTTAACAAGAGTGTAATTGAGTGGAGGTCTGGTGTAGTGCTACCAGCTATCTCAGTGTGTGGAACCAACTACCTCAACTACTCCAAACTCAAGACAGCATTGGCAGCTGACAATGAATCAGAGGAGCACAGAGAAGGGGAGACTCTTCAAGAGGAGTTTGATGCTCTCGTAACTGATTTCAGAAAGTATGAGAGTTACGGTGTCAACTTGACTGCAGAGGATTTGGAAAGAGCTGAAGATTTGAAGCATTGGGAGGATAAGAAGGGCTCCATTGCGGTTAGGTTTAGAAACGATATTCTAGACATGGTTGTAGGGCACTTTGAGTTTCTGTTCAGAGGAGTAGGCTACCACATCACAGAAGAAAACAGAGCGGAGATGACAAACCCAACCGAGCTAGGTATGTGTCTGGAGATTAATGATAAAGGCGAGCTGGTACAGGACGTGTTGGGAAAGAACGGCAGGTTAACTATCGATGTAGATGCCAAGGTTAATGACTATCTCTTCACGACATCCAGCAAAGGTTTCGTGGTGTTTATTAGAGACTACGACGAGACAGTTATGCTTAACCAGGGTGGGTACCTCGTAGCACCGGGTACAGAGACCTTTCTCAAACTCTCTGCTAAAAACGTAACCCGGCTGGGAAAACCGCATGGTACATGCCAGAATAAGTTGAGCAAGTATTCCAAGTATGGGAAGCGGTTTGAGGGAGTAAGAGAATGTCAGGAACGACAGCAGATAGAAGCTATGATTAATCACTGTCATTGTATCCCCTGGTATTTTGCAGAAAGAATGTACACCGAAAAAAGGTTAAATGTACTAGATGATGCAGTTGCGGAGGTTAAGAAGGCCCAGTCTGGTAAAAAACGTAGTACTTCAAGTGAAGCCGAGCACGAAACTCATACTGAAACTGGTACTGAAACTGAAACTGAAAATGAAACTGAAACTGATACTGAAACTGATAATCACGATAAAACTGAGAACAACATTCCACACAGTCCACACATCAACCATCGTGTTGTAGGTAAAGCTAAAGACTCCCCAGTATTTCACTCTAACTACACAGAGTATATCTGCACCTTTGTACAACAAAATCTGTGCAACGGTCTGATAAGTAACGAGATAAAGGAAGGAATTCTGCAAATGGAAGAATGTCATGAGCCATGCACGTACAACGAGTGGGATGTTGAGATGGACACAACTGTTTTCCCACCGACCAAGGAATATTTTGAGCATTTTGTCAAATTCGATGCTCATCTCAGAGATGAAGCTGATTTCAGCTATGCCCGAGAAAATATGGCAAGAATCCACATTTTCTACAAAGATCTAAAAGTGGACAAACTGTCACAGATGAAGGCTTATGATGAATCTAGTTTCATAGCAGAATTTGGGGGAACAGTTGATATCTTCATAGGATTCTCTTTCTTCACAGTAGCCCAGCTCATAGAGATTGCTATTGCAGGATTGATACGGAGGATCCAAGCAAGAAGAAATATAGCTCATCAAGAAAAAGCGACGAGCGGAACAGTGAATACTGAGATAGAAGCACAGACGCCAGAGAATGATGCAGATAAGAAAGATTTCAAGACTTACGGAAACCGCAGTGCACTTGAAGAAGGTAACGCTGTGAAGGAGCCAACAGTGGCAGCTGAAAGTACCATAAGTGAAGTGTTCGGGAGACTGGTTGGTGGTACATGACCCTGCTTTCTAATACCCTCCTTGGAAGTGAGTACAATAAAATAGTGAACATAGCATAGTTCTCTAAATAGTTCTCCTATTGTGACTCAATGAGACCTCGTGAAATGTAATATTTCTTACAGTTACAGTGTTAATTGTTGAAAAGTAACTGCTCTCAGGGTTATAAAAAGTGCAATTTGTTTTCTATGTTAGTTATCTTAAGATAATCACACTATTTCAGTGATCAACAATACAAGGGAAATTTATTCAGTAGCTGTAGGAACGGAAAAGCTCCCCAGCTAGACTCCACGTTATCGATTACGAGATGGAGTCTTCTGACATCTAGCTAAACGGCAGGTGCTGCGGACAGACTGCAGTACGTGATCCGGTCTGAGATCCTAGCTAGACGGCATAGCACGTAACGCGTTACGTGATATTAAACATTACTGAACATACATGTTCAGTAATGTTCTTGCAAAAACTCTTTTATGTTGATTCATTGTTGTTGCGAGGTAGATACTGTAATTGAACTCGATGATTTATTTGGCAATTGTTCAGTATTTATAGTTAGGCCTTGTCTTGCCGCTGACAAATCATCCGATCTCATTAATGCTGGCCCTGTTACTTACAACACTTGTAAATTTGAACAATCTTCTAGACACCTATATGCCCGGTTTATTTTAATGAGAAAGTTATTTTACCGTTCATCAACGTTAGTAGCTGCTTTCTCAGATATTTAGAAACTATGATTGCATACTTAGGAATATTAAAACTCAGATTAGTTTTTAGCCACATTTATTTATTAATGTGGAAATATAGAGGTTAAACTTTTATTTTTTTCCACTGTATTTAGTAAAAAGTTTCGTCGCGTTTATGAAACTTGGAATTGAGTATATTTCCAGTGTTCACTATGTCAGTCACACTGGATCAAAGAGTCCTCCTAGTTGGAAAGACCACTTTGGACACTATCTGAATACGATTTTAATGATCTTTACAGATAGCTGTATTGTTATTCATAACAGTAATCATAACCAGACTTTTAGCATTTCCGACTTGTAAATAATGTAGACAGCTGAATTATATTAGAAATTATCAAGGATTGTTTTACTGCCTTTTAAAACATAAATTAAAAATTATAATAACAGGTATCTCAATCATTTATACCACAAAACAATCATACAATCACATAGGCACTATAATGAAGACTATAAAACTTAATTACCTTGTTTTCCAATTCTTGTACTTTGGTTTCGTCTACAGATACCTCTTCATCTTCACTTGAGGAGCAACTGTCATCTTCACTTCGTGACATGGCTACATTCAAAGAGAGATAAATGATGGAGGATAAATCTTAAATGCCTCCTATTTGGCGCTAATGAGTAATGACCACCATTAAAAATGGCTGTAAATGGTATTTTTTGGCAATTTCTTCGTAAGATCTAAATTTGCTCATGCACTTATTTGTCCGGAAGTCTGATATTTTCCTAGCAAACATTTTTAAGATCTGCCCATTGTGCTAGCTGAACAATTGTTTTAGACGATTTTTGAATAGCAGAAGATGTAAGCTAGTTTTTAGCTTATTTAATTGACAAAATATCCGCAAATAAACAAAATATGAAACCTATACTTTTTATTTTGACACATTATTACTATCTATTCTGAAATATCTAATAATTCTGGAAATCTCGTCTAGATGAATTAATCACAAACTAGATTAAAACAACAGTTTGGATGCATTTGATCAAGTGGATCCTAAAAACAATGTTCTTCTGTCTTTGATGCAGCAAATAAATTAGGAAGTTATAAATGTACAAAACACAAAATCACGATAATATATTGTAGTACCTTACTAGAACTACATCGAATTTTCATATACTAAGGTCTTTCGTAAATAAACATTTGAGGTGTAAGATAGATAGATATCGTTTTAAAGGTCACAGGACATCTACAGTCACCAAATCAAAACTGTCATTACATTGATAAACTTCAAAAGTGTTTCACTAGTTTCAATTTTAATACCTAGCTAACAATATCACAGAGTGAAGTAAAATTACCTTACTTACTAGCTTATTATTCTCAATTTATTTCAAATATTCAGAAAATCATAACACTCCTGTACATATATCTGCGGCCACAGGTCATGTTTTGTATCAGTCAATTTTAACACTAAATGAGACCCCACAAGAACAACCTTCTTCTGCTTGGGGATTATCAACAACTCTAAATGCAGCCCTGATCAGCTCTTCATGATACTCAATAGTTGATCCTGTAAATTATGGAAGTTAAAAAACTGTAAATTTAAAATTATCTCTTTGGAATGGTCTCTGCTTCTTTTTAGTTTAGTGTGGTTTAAAATAAAAGATGTTTTAATTTTGTCTTAGCCTTATATTGAGTTATACTCTTGTTCATTTTTACACATTTGCTCACATCACTCACAGTCAGCCGCTCTGACATGGTTAACCACCTTCCTTGTGTTGTTGGTTAATCATATGAGCGGGATATAAATACCTCATTTCATTTCATTTCAATACAAAAATCACATATCATCTAGTTCAAATACATAAAATAGGTAAGCTAAATGGAACCTGTCATAAAGTCGAGGGAAATCTTGTCGGTTATTATCCGAATACCATCCTTTTCGAGTACAACATCCTCATCCCCTACAGCGTCATTTATTTCAAACTTGTACTGAAACCCGCTACATCCTCCTCCATCAACTGTTACTCGTAGACTCCTCTCCTCTGAGATATTCACTTGTTTTGGTGACCTTCATAGTATGATGGAATAGAATTAAAAAGTATCCCATAACAGCCAGTGCAGTAGAGTACAACCTTAATGAATAGCTCAGACATGTAAACTTTAGAGACAAAAACTTGTATGTATGATGTGTATTATACATGCAGTTGCTTTAAAAAGCTTTCTATATATAATGCTGTTTAGAATATCATAATACTTTATAAAGCATTCTGTTAAAGTTGGTTCTCATGGCTAGGCACATTGGCAACAGTTCTCTGTGTTATCGGTAATAATCACATTATTACGATAAAAATAAATAATAGTATGTCTTGCATGTAATACTTACCAATACTTTTAAGTTGCTGAACTGTAGATGGGTCGATGACGAGTTGGCTTAATTTTCGAAAGTGAGCATTAAATGCCTTCACAGCAAGTCTTCCAATGAGGGACATATCATCACAATGGCTAAACAGGAGTAAAAAATTCACATTTGCAACTAGTTAAATAACAGCAAAGTATATCATTCTAAATTGTAATTATTCAATATCTTACTTCTTTTTTTTTTTTTTTTTTTTTTTTTTTTTTTTTTTTTTTTTTTTTTTTTTAAATAAAATGCAACCTACTAAAACCAATGGGGCCCTCCCCGGGGTCATTACTCTCGCATTTGCGAGAGTCGTCCCTAAGGTGTGAAAGTAGGTCAAGATTTGTTCACACCAAGCCCTAGCATCGCTATTTGCTGACCATCTGCCTTCACTGAAGGTATGTTTTTAGAGAGTGGAGGCCGACCGTCAGCTTGGGATGCAGGGCCAAGTGGTCAACAACGTCAAGGCCCCCTTCCACATGGGCCATGTTGGTTTTAGCAGATACTGTGGTAATAAGATATGAAGTGAATGAGTGAAATGAAGTGATTGAAAAGGGTGTAAAAGAGGAAGAGCTTGTAAGGTAGTTTAGGAATGGAAGGAAGCAGGGCATGTACTACAAAAAAACAGTTAGTAGTACTGTAGGATAGTAACAATAACCATTGATAATAAATATCAAAGACAGCAATATAAATGGGGTGGACAATTTGCCCTAATCGGCCAAGATCGACACAATAGAACTTTTGTGGCCTATTTTGTCACCAGTAAGTGAAAGTTTAAGAAGTTTGATATATCCCTTACTATATCTTACTTCTTACTACTATCTTACTACTAGGTGACATTTATTATGATGTTTAAAAATAAAAGGCCATCCCTGTATAACCTCAAAATATCATCAAGGAGCTTTTTTCCCTCCTTCAAGATGCTGAATTTGTAGTCAACTTGGCTAAATTGCAGATTTACAGCCCTACTTGTCATGAAGCTTATACAAACTGTTGATTGAGATCATGCGTAATTACTGATAATATTATTGTTCCATTGTTGACAAATTTACATTTAACACAGTATGTTATTGCACTATTATTGATATTGTTGTAATCTCATGGCAATAGCTTTTCTATTTGAGCTGTTTAGTTCACAGAGAAGCAAATATAGTAGGCTGATTTAAATAGATATTTTGGAAACAGTTTGTTTCAGTAAACATTGAGAACCAGTACTCTTTGGTAACTGCATCTTCAACCTCAGTTTCATTTTGAAACATCAAGTGATCGACTGGTAAAGTCAAATATTATGTTCTATTCAAGTATTTTGAAGTGTAGTAGTTGTTAAGATCTTTAATTTTATACTAAATTATTGAGGTTTTATAACGTTTAATAGCGGGTATAATTTGTTATGTGGGTATTTAAAATTAGTCTGTGGGAATTTAAAGTTTTTGATCTCTTCTATTTATTGTTAATAAAATGCTCATTGTAGTGAATGATAATTAATCACTCTACAGTCGACTGTCACGTGACGAAAACGCTGCGATTTCATTGGTTAACCTGATATCGCGCCGCAGATCTCTTTAAACACAAATTATTCATCGCGCGTGCAGTAAACTCAAATTAAGTCTTAATTTATTACCGGAATTTGGCAACTATCAAACATCAGACGAGCTTTGAGGTCTCCTAGATTTGTTTATGTAAATTTCAAGATATTTGTACTATTCTATGTTGTATGTGCCCCAACGTTAATGTGGCTCTTGCTATGTGTTGGTTCAGCCGAATTAATTATTATGTAATCAAGTTTATTTTTCTCTTTTAGTTAGTTGTCATCCGGCCAAACATTAAGCAACTTATATTGCAGTTCCATTTATCAATTAGTATATCAAAATATGTCATTGTAATTTTGCATGGCTGAAATGTAACGCTTGATTTATATATATATAATAATTAATTGAATTTTCAAATAAAAAAAAATATAATTTTACGGACGAAATGATCCCAGGGGGGACTCCCAACCCACTGCTTCGGCGGGTAGTTGACGCACCTTTCACAAGCAAGAGCCACTTTGGTCTACTTGCTGTGAGGTGTCTCAGCTACATGGGTTGGGGTCCCCCCTTTTTTCTTTCTTTTTTTTTCTTATAGAGTCTACGGTACATGAATTCATGAAAGAATGTATGCAATAAGATTAAGAAATTACGGAAAATTGGTAGAACAACATCGTAAATGCTAATTAGTATTAACAGTGGTAAGTGTTTTTAAATAGATGACGTAAAAGAATGACGTAAAATGACGTAAATGAGTTTTTCACTTTTGGCAAATATTTTTGTGCATATTACGTTAACCTAGGCCTTGTATACTCTAATATGATCAAAGAACGGAATTTCTAGCTTACACATAAATAGAGATATCACGCACACTAAATTTCTCGCTGCACGCAAAATGTTCCTAGTTTGGGATGTTGTTCCCTCTCATATCAGTACAGTGTCTATGTGATATTTGTCTTCTTTTTTCCGTTCGTTAGAAGGCTCAATATTTCATTTTTGTAATTTTTGGATCGTTAAATTATTTGACCATTAACGGGTGATACTCGTAAAATATTTGTTCCGAATATTTTGTTCCCGGACCTGGGACCGTCGACGAGTCAAACTCGGCGCGCATCCTGGTAGGTTATAAACCTACAATAACGGCTTAGCTTTTTTGTTCACCGCACCCATTTCATCATCATCCGTGTTACCTGAGGACCCCAGGCTTTAATGTTGGTAAACAACGAATAGAGATTAGGCGGAATGACAGGCTGAGCGCGGCCCAGTAACATCGGCCGTGTCATATTCGTTGAAACCTACGATGCTTAGCCAGTTTGCAGTTATTTTAATATTTTCATCGTCATCATGTTATTGCACAAAACTGCATGAATTCAAAAGCAATCTAAGCATTTTAAATTGTCCAGCTATAAATAGTCTTTACAGCATCATGTGCATCATTGACGGAACCAATAACAATTGGTGCTCGATTTCTATCGTGGAATCAATTTTCATGCGGCCGGAGGACGACGCGCGAGTGCGCGGCGTTAAATTAACGATTCTGATAAAAGCTGAGTTAACAGTGCTGCACAGTGAATAATAATTATTTGATTGACGATGTCACCCTTCCAGATCGTTGCTCTGCGAATTAACAGATGCGAAGTAAGAATAAAAGTTTAATTGCGCGTTAACGGTTAATTGTAGCGCATAGCGTGATGATATGCGTTACTGGGCCGCGCACTCAATTGTGCTTCTCGCAACCACATTGTATCACGTCGTAACCCCCACGGTCGTTTCACAATACAGGGGGAGCCGCACACTTGACACTCGTGCGCGGCGGGTTGACAACAACCATATAGATCGGTGAAATGCGCTACTGTCATGTACCATGTATTGCTCTATCCAGAGCCCTAGCGCTTGCAGTAGCGCGCGCCCGCCTATTGGACCAGGTGAGCTTGCATGCTTGTGAATGTAGGTGTAAGTACAGCTGTACTGTCATGTAGTTTATACCTAATTAACCCCTATACACTGTCACTATCTACTGGGCCGCGCTCAGCCTGTCATTCCGCCAAATCTTTATGAACATAATAGCCTGGGGTCCCCAGGTAATGTCACTATGCACTATAGAAACCTGAAAAGTGGTTACTGCATATACTGGAGGGAGAAGTACCAAGACTACCTGCGCTACATAGACGCTGTTGTCAGCACTGCGCGCGCGCACGAACCTTCCAATCGGGGTTCGTGGATAGGTGCTTTTCTGTTTTCTGTTTTCTTGACTTGTGAATCAAGCGCGCGCGAAAGCACATGGTTAGGTGAATATACCATGTACTGTGTACTGGGCCTCGCCGAGCTGCGAAGAATTGACATCGTCAATTAAGTTAACGGGTGATACTCGTCAAATATTTGTTTCAAATATCAGGCCGATCATCGACGATCAGTCCAACTTTGAACTCAGCGCCCGTCTTGGTAGGTTATAAACTTACATGAAATTTGTTAACATCAAAAAATTTCTTTGCTCCCTATTTAATTTTACATTTTACCTGGCACGCCAATCCTTAAATGTGTAATGCGCAGCGCTGATCAGGCGCTTTTTTCAATATTCAAGCAATTCTCGTATAGCGAGCAATAGACTAGCAAGTAAAGTAATGCTAGTGGCTAGGTAAGCACCTCTTTACATATTAACATACACTTAATTATATATTACACATTGCCAATTGCATTCACATAGCCATGTGCCTACGCGTACTGCGTGACGCGCTTGTTTCACAAGTAGGATCGCGCGCTACTGCAAGCGAGAGGGCTCTGGTTAGAGCAACCAATTGCATGACACGACCATGCGACTATTACATATTGATATTACATATTAGGGCCTTTTCACATAAGAATTTTCTTAAAACTTGGCCTGGGCGAGCAATTTAGGGTCGCGAACCTAGTATTTCGGAATAAGGGTGGTAGTTAGTGTCCAATTAGCCGATGTTTATTGAATCTTTATTGCCGAGTACACTTACAGCTGCCTTCGGGTACTGGTAGTTCTTCTTAATATAATCTATTCACTATTACAATTGTAATGATTTAAATTTTAAGTGGGTTTTTGTCATATTTAACGTAATCACTAATAAATATGTTAGCAATTTTTACCCCCTTCGTAATCAACCATAATCAAGACCCCCCTCCCTCTCCTGACAGCAAAATTACGTAATCATGGCCTGACCCCCCCCCCTTAACGGGTGATACTCGTAAAATATCTGTTCCATATATTGGACCGTCGACGAGTCCAACTCGGCGCGCGTCCTGGTAGTTTGTAAACCTACAGGGTTTGTAGCGCGATGCACTACTGGGTCGCGCGCGCGCATCCAATAATGCTTCTCGCAACCACATGCAACCGTATGCAGATCGGCGAGATGCGAAGGATTGACATCGTGAATCAACTACAGGGTGTACCGTATAAAGTGTGACTTTTTTCCACTTTGATAGTTTTTGACAGAATTAAACTTCACGGTTATTTTTAACTAAATTTTGTCAGAAATATAGTTGAATTAATAACAATAATAAAAAATATGGTTAATAGTGAAGCACCTTCCAAAAAAAGCCACCCTTCCCAAAAATTAAATATTTGAGTCTGAAATTGACATTATTCATGGCTGAGGTCCAAGATTTTCAAAATATAATAAAAACGTTTTAAAGACCTTCCTCAAAATTCTGCCTGGACAATCTCTTCTAAATGATCCCTAACACATATTTTGAAAGTTTCAGGGTGATTAATCAAAAACAGTCGGAGAAAAAATATTTGATACATGTTTCTTAACGGGTGATACTTGTAAAATATCTGTTCCATATATACAGGACCGTCGACGAGTCCAACTCGGCGCGCGTCGGCCTGGTAGGTTGTAAACCTACAACATGTTTCGCGCGCGAAAAGTGGCATGCAACGTATGTAAAAAAAATATTTTTAGACTCGATTTTCACTACGCCAGATAAACTCGATTTTCACTACGCGTGATAGAAAATCGCTCGCACAATACAATTACTTATGAGCGCTGACCTTTGACCAGCGATAACTTCGGCTAGGAACAAAATTTTTTGATAGGAACAAAAGCAAATGATAGACATTACCCTTTTGCCTTTACTGTCAAAAATAGCTAAAATATTGATTTCGAACATTTTTTTCTTGAGACCCCTAAATTACAGCAAGCTTAAGTTCCTAAATTAGCATCATAACAAAATAGCAATTTGTGAGAAATCAAAAATTGATGGGGACTTGAAATTTGGAATGCATAAATTCGACACCTAGTGACACAATGTGATGAAGAGTTTTTAGCAACTGCTCCTTCATAATATTTTGTATCATTTCTCAAATAAGTCACACTTTCTATGGTACACCCTGTATTACCCCCCCCCCCCCTCCGACTTTTTTCCCTGTCTCTACGTTTCATGCTACATACTTATACCCTGATCATTACGAGCCAAAATCATTGTTATGATATCGGCCGGCCAAGCACCTTCCCAACTACTTACTTTTGACTTTACCACATAGTTTATTTGTAGCGCGATGCACTACTAACTGGGCCGCGCCGCGCATCTACTCGCAACCACTTCGGTAGATCGGAGAGATGCACCACTGGGCCTCGCCGAGCTACGAATGGTTGACATCGTGGATCAAATAGTTTATAGCAGCCGCATACCCGACCCGTTCCTTGTTCCTAAATGCTAAATTTTATCAATATCAGAGTTAAATTGAGTGGAATTTGAATTAAAATATTGTCAAATTGTTATAATTCTAGAGGGTAAAAAAGAAAATGTTGATTACGTAATCAATTGACGGATGTTACTCGTCTAAATTTCTTCGAAGTTTTTTCCTCGATGGCACGTGCTACGAAGTAGCGCGCGCCGGGCCAGATCATTAACAATGGTCACGTAATCAACAGCCAGTGCGTGCACCGTATTCAGGATTTTTTACCTGGAACGCCAGTCCCTGTGCGCGGCGCTCTTTTCAAGCTTCCTGAACAGAGAGAAGCGAGCAATAAACTAACAAGCTAGGTAATATTTTCTTGTTTTTTCTCGATTTCAGCAGAAATAACGCATGATAAGGGTAAAAGAATTGTATTATAAGAAAATAAACATTTAGTTACACATTCCTCCACTACTACAGGATAAATACCGGATTTAATCAAAGTCGGTCCAACCAACTTGCTACTGATATATTTTAATAACATTAAAATGTGTAACAAGCAAAGATTTGATCATTGATATGGTCAATGTTATATTTAATCAGCAATCTACGGATCAACACTCAACAGTCAATGAGCTGAGATGGAAACACCGTTTAAATTATATTACTGTTTTTTAATATACGAAGATACGGTGAGAGTTTTTGTAGATTTTTGTGGTACAATGATCAAACAATTGCATACCCACAATGATCAACCATTATAAAGGGGTCGGAGTTAGAAGTTGGTACAAAATAGTTGATAAGTTGGCTGGACTCTTTGAGGCTACAATAATTTAACTTAATTTTAAGTATTCATACGCTAAATTACGGAAAAACGTTTATCTTTTCAGCCGACATAATTATCGAAAATGCAGTAATTTGTGACCGTGATTTAACCAAAAATAGCTATTTTAATTAAATCGTGTCATGGAAGCGTCTAAAATTTTTAAAGCGCCGCCAAGAATAAACTTGTTGATGTTTTAATCAATTTTCAAACACTGTACGGCAGGCGATTTGGATTGATAAATTTGACAAAGGAGCCCAACCGAATAGTAGGGCAAATCTGATCGCCCAACAAAGAAAATTGAAGGGGGTCACAAAGTGAGCTTATTTTGGCAGAATATCACGGGTCACAACACGGTCAATAGCCTTGATAACAAATCTGGCTAATATCCGAGCCACGTATTTAACACGTGTGAGCTTTCCTTCGCCATATGCAGCACTATACAGTCAATATTATAAAACTCGGCCTAAAAACTTGTTCATTCGACCAACTTGCGTACATCCTACGATAGTTAAAACATGCGGTAGAAGTTGCTTACAGTACAAAAATATTACGAGTTAGTCCACTAAAAGATAGGTTCAAGTCGATAATTAATTTTACTAATTAATAAAACTAATTTTATTAATTGGTGCGATTTACTGTAAATCTTTGAACCTATCGAACATACTTTTAATGTTTGATACCTTGCCGGACCTTACTTTGGTCGGGATTTGCTTCAAATTCTATCGATAGAAAACAGAATAACTAAATTGTCCGGCAGCTCACAAGAATATGAAATCTCAAATAGAGCAAATTCTCATTTGGTAAGTAACACACTTCAAAATCAACCTTTTGACATCAAAATATTAAAGGCTTCGCAAAACCAAGCTTCACAACGTATGCATATGCAAAATTAAAATTTCCCTGCTAATTCTTGCAAATGCGTTTAGTGGAGGGTACCCACCGGTTTCTTAAAATCAATCTTCTTTAGAAAAATTAAGAATTCCTTTGAAGCATCAAAGGACGACTATCACATAGCTTTCAGGATATCCAGACAAGCGGTAAAAAAACCGCGAAATATCTGTCATATTCTTGACAGACCTCAGCTTCACAAACTACCCAACAAAAATGCGTGTATGTACAATTATAATACGCGTGGAATGTCATTACATACTGCTAACACATCTGATCTCATAAGTTAAACCTTTTATTAGCTCCCTCACTTTTAGATAAACGAACATAATAAGGCAGAGTATATGAATATTTTGAATCGTAAGTTATAAAACATCAAATCAGGGGAATGAAGGGTTTATGCGTGGGTTTCAAAATAGCAGCCCCGAGCAGGCGTGTAATCGGCCAATCAGAAGCCCCGAATCAAACCAATTGTCCAATCAAAAAGCATTTTAAAATTTTCATCGTGACTTCTATTTTGAACCCGTGTTTAAGGTAGTATATATATATAATTAATATATACATATCACGGAGACCCTGACCCTGAACCAATACTGTTTCACGGGATGTTTCTATATGATATGATATCTATATCTATCCTACCTACACACATTGACCATATTAACGCATATATTTTATATATATGTAGGGAGTGGACCTGCCCGAGTAGACCGAGGACCGATTATCAGGAGTAGGGATAGTTTTGGTAGCTAGTGCTAGGATACATGTCCAGAGAGCCCTGGACGTCCTCCCCCTGGAGAATTGAGTCGTGCTCGAAGTTCACGAAGTACTCGTTGAGGTCCATGCCCGCACCGCTCATCTCGTCGTCTGGAGGGTAGTACTGCGGCGACATGGCTTCCTCTGGTGCTTGTACCTGTGGGAGCACAGTCAGCTTCTACATTATATTCATCTCATTCTTAACATATATTCTCAAAATCAACTGCCATACTGGAGTTCATTAAGTTGCAATCATAATAAAACAGCTGTCCTAATAAAAGAATGAAGTGGCATATTATTACCTGTATCTTAGGTATGGAGGGGGGATTGCTGTAACTCTGCTGCTCATGAGGAGTGGGAGGCTGGCTCGGGTAATAGTTTATGTATTGTTGGTGTGCTGCTACCGAGTCGTCGATACTGGGCTTAATGTCGTACACCTGTCACCATATTCATCAGCACTAACTTTAATACACTAGCTAGAATATTTATTGGCTATCGACACACCATTAGAGTAAAAAACGCACCAGATATCTGCAAAAAAGGAATAGCGACTCACATCAGGGGAGGCTTGGCCGCTCCGACTGTGTGGCGAACAGTTTCCACTGTGCAGTATTTGACCGGTAGGCGAGTGAAGGTTGAATTCTTGCATCTGAGCTGTCATTCGCTGGTAATTGGTGTTCGGGGAACCAAACTGAGGGGAAATTAGCCGTTAGGTGGATGGAATGAAATAGTGTCTGTCTGGTTAGGAAATATTTGGTGGACCACAGGTCCTACGCCCACGCTGAAACAGTGTAGGACGAAGGAAGGATATAGAAAAGAATCTGAACTGTGGGAAACGGAGATATTCGCTGACACTTACTTCATCAGATGGTCGCTGTTGGAAGAATTAATTGTTCGCAACATAGCGATGTCGGATAGATGAAAGGAAGGCGAATATTTTACAACACTTCTAACTACAGTTAGCCCAGTCTGTCACACAATGTGATAGATCACATAGTACAACATAGTACAACACATCGCTCACTACTTACATTGTAAGACATGCTCTGAGGAGTGGCGGGAGGGGAGGGAGTGGGGCTGTACTGCCTCACTCGGTGCTTTAAATCTGTCCCTGTAGCTTCGTCTATTGACATGAAGTAACCACCCCCTTGATGGGGCGGAACTTGGTACTGGTGTTGTCCTCCCATCCGCAAGTTGTCTGAAAAGTTAATTGTCAAACTAACGTTTCCTAGAAGTCAGAAGACAGTTACTTTCGGGCTGAACGAATAAAACTGGTTACTGGATCGCCATTTCTTTGAAGCCTATAAAGTGACGTTGTGCATTAGATATGCACAAGATTTGGAGTATAAGTACATTGCAATGTTCTCCGTATATCATGCATTGGTTAGTGGGTCCAGGGACTGGTTCATATTCAAATCTGGCTATAAAATGGGGGGAGGGGCAAATCAAGATTACTTGGATTTGTATTTATTTATGGGAAATTTTCCAAAAATAACAAGAGATTGCTAACTACGGTATACCCTGTTATGACAAAGTATTTTCGCGCGCTGCGTAAGTTGCGCGCTACATAGTGTCTGCCGTAAATTCAAAATCATAGCCCGTACATAAAATCATAGTCCCGTACAGAACTACTGCCTACTTCTGCTTCCAGCCGACTTGTAAATTAATAACGTGGACACTTATCTAACTGTGTAAACACTGGCATCAAGCTGTCGTATACTGCATAATCTCTATTCCGAAAATGGTATGGTACAAAAGTATTGTGTTCTTTCGGCAAATCGGGAAAAAATTATTTCACCGAGGTCTAGAGTTTATTCTTAATCTAGACTTCAAACAGCACCCTGGACGTTTTTTGTGTCTAAAAAGCGAATAAATAAAAGCTAGCGCATGTGAAACATCTGACATGTGCTGTAAGATTGACTTTTCAAGTCAAAGTTAACTTTAAATATCAGCCAAATCGGGCAGCCACTCCCTCTTCTATATTTGATTCCACACCGAATCACAGACACACAACATTTCAAACCCAGTGTGAAAAGGCAATTAAAAAAAGAACAATTTTATTTTTCTGATTACGCCACGTTAACCTTAATATTTGATCCACACAACAGTTTAAGTAAATGATGTGAATAGAATATTATTGGTTATAAACAACAAGTAAATTCATAACTTATAGTATTGTGTCTTGAATTTAACTAGAGATAGAGGTCAACTGATTATTTGTTCACGAACTCCACGGATTAAAAATGGAACTTCTTCCTTACTTCATCATTTAGCACCTCTACACTGTTTTAACAGTACGCAGTTTGAATCGTCCAAGTTAATCTTCACTAACTTTGTAGTATTTTTATAACGTCAATATTTCTCTCCTTTCGAGTTTCGACGTGACTTTACAAAATACCAAGATCAAAATTCCAAAATGATAATGATCTATTTACATTATTGTTTTACAATCTCGCTAAACATCCTTTGAACTCTGTTTTCGAGCTCAATTGGTGAGATTTAAGCGGGTGGCGGGTGTTTTCACTCCACGCTAATTTCCTACAGTTAGGAATAAATAACAGAAGAACCGAAACGTTTACTCAACCATGTTATTTCACATCATAAAGCGTGTATTTAAGAGGTTGTGACATGCAACCTTAAAGTGGCACTCTCAGCCGTCGCAACGTTTAAAATGGCACTCAGCCCGCAGCCGTCTCGAGCACAATAATTAAACTACTACGCTAGTAGTAGGGAGACGACGCACTTTCAATCAAGCCACATTCTCACCCCCTCTTTAAAATGATTTCAGTTGTAATGCACTAGAGCTACATTGGTCACGTGACTATGAGGTATTTAAATACTGTCTAAAATGTGAGAAGGTTATTACATTAGAGTAAGTGGAAGCCTAGTATTTAATAGTCTACTAGAGCTCTAGTGTAACACACTGCTTACCTCTCCTAACTACTCTAACCCTGGTATGTCTGTAATTCCTGCCAAACTACAGACTGCAACACACTGTGTAGCGCGTGTGTTCTGTAGACTGTGGGGTATAATGTACTGTAAACTGTGCGGTGGACTATAAAGTATATTATACAATGGAATATATGGTGGACTATAGAGTAGGTCAGTATAGAGACTATAAAGTGGGCTGTAAAGTAGGTCAGTATAGAGACTATAAAGTGGGCTGTAAAGACTGAACAGGGCCGGGAATACAGGAGACTATTTTAAAGTGCTGTATGTGATGGGGATTGTACGTGACCATTAACATGACGATAATTTGGAACCGTAAAACTTCAATATCTATGATAATGGAGTGTTTCAATACAGGCTCCCAATTTTAACAGACTTCCAAAAAGCGAACTGGAATTTGGAGTAAATGTGTCGTGATTTTTAAAAGCTTGTGGTTACGGTTCGGGGAAAGCAAATTGGCATTAAATAGCATCGGAATTCTTGACCACAATTGGCCTAATAAGGTTTTTGACAAATTGTAAGTTCTCTACTTTTAACTTCTCTGTACATCTCAAACATTATAATCCCACTTAGATCTTGTGGGGCGTATTTTGTGGGATTTGTGAATCTGATATAATAAAAATAGAACACTACTTGTTCAGGACAGAAACAAGTTGCAACATTACTCTCTTGCCCTGAATGAGTTGAAGTAAATACCAACCATTGCATTATACACTTGTAAATGTTTATGACCGACTACATGATGTTATTGCACAATCCCACGTCTGATTGTAACATTTTCAGAACATAGAGCGTGTCCTGTACATATAGACCCAATAACAGGCATACTGACAAGCTCATTATCTGCTGATTATCTAAAGTGACTAATATTCACTTTCTACTTAACCTGGGTCTTCTCCTTCCCAATAGCCCTGCACTTTGGGTAAACCGTTTGACATGTCATGTGTGTGTGTAGTGTTTAAAAGTAGGTATAATTGCTGGCCAGCCAATCAGAGACCAGTCCTGTACATATTAGTGAAATATCAGCTGTATTTGTAGTCTCTTCTCCAACTGTGTGAGTTGAGTAGAGCCTGTGTGCTCCTTCATAATATAATTTATACACGAACTTATACAACAAATATAATCACACATCATTGTGTGCAACAAATTATTAAGAAATGTCATATTCACCACATAAATATGGCATATATTATTCCATCTCTTTTGTTGTCTATATTCTCCGTCAAACGCATGTTACACTGTATCGTTGTAACGCATGTTAGCACTGTATCGTTGTAACGCATGTAAGCACTGTATCGTTGTAACGCATGTTAGCACTGTATCGTTGTAACGCATGTAAGCACTGTATCGTTGTAACGCATGTTAGCACTGTATCGTTGTAACGCATGTTAGCACTGTATCGTTGTAACGCATGTTAGCACTGTATCGTTGTAACGCATGTTAGCACTGTATCGTTGTAACGCATATTAGCACTGTATCGTTGTAACGCATATTAGCACTGTATCGTTGTAACGCATGTTAGCACTGTATCGTTGTAACGCATGTAAGCACTATATCGTTGTAACGCATGTTAGCACTGTATCGTTGTAACGCATGTAAGCACTGTATCGTTGTAACGCATGTTAGCACTGTATCGTTGTAACGCATGTTAGCACTGTATCGTTGTAACGCATATTAGCACTGTATCGTTGTAACGCATATTAGCACTGTATCGTTGTAACGCATGTAAGCACTGTATCGTTGTAACGCATGTTAGCACTGTATCGTTGTAACGCAAGTAAGCACTGCACTGTATCGTTGTAACGCATATTAGCACTGTATCGTTGTAACGCATATTAGCACTGTATCGTTGTAACGCATATTAGCACTGTATCGTTGTAACGCATGTAAGCACTGTATCGTTGTAACGCATATTAGCACTGTATCGTTGTAACGCATGTTAGCACTGTATCGTTGTAACGCATGTTAGCACTGTATCGTTGTAACGCATGTTAGCACTGTATCGTTGTAACGCATGTTAGCACTGTATCGTTGTAACGCATGTTAGCACTGTATCGTTGTAACGCATGTTAGCACTGTATCGTTGTAACGCATGTTAGCACTGTATCGTTGTAACGCATGTTAGCACTGTATCGTTGTAACGCATGTTAGCACTGTATCGTTGTAACGCATGTTAGCACTGTATCGTTGTAACGCATGTTAGCACTGTATCGTTGTAACGCATGTTAGCACTGTATCGTTGTAACGCATGTTAGCACTGTATCGTTGTAACGCATGTTAGCACTGTATCGTTGTAACGCATGTTAGCACTGTATCGTTGTAACGCATGTTAGCACTGTATCGTTGTAACGCATGTTAGCACTGTATCGTTGTAACGCATGTTAGCACTGTATCGTTGTAACGCATGTTAGCACTGTATCGTTGTAACGCATGTTAGCACTGTATCGTTGTAACGCATGTTAGCACTGTATCGTTGTAACGCATGTTAGCACTGTATCGTTGTAACGCATGTTAGCACTGTATCGTTGTAACGCATGTTAGCACTGTATTGTTGTAACGCATGTTAGCACTGTATTGTTGTAACGCATGTTAGCACTGTATCGTTGTAACGCATATTAGCACTGTATCGTTGTAACGCATATTAGCACTGTATCGTTGGCGGCGATAGTGAATATTGTAAACCCAGGCCTGTAAGTGGTTACTGACTATTTATATGTAATTTAGAGAAATCCTCCTATTTATCATGTACAGTGCGCGGTGCCACAAGAGGTACATTTAACTGTAGATTCTGTAGTACTAAAATAGATACTGCTACTTCGATCCTACCTGCTTATTATACAATAACCGTTCAATAAAAGCTAATGTATTATAAACTAAATACGGTAATAATTGGATGTAGCGTAGGGGATGTTGTGTAGGGGAGGTTGTGTAGGGGAGGTTGTGTAGGGGAGGTTGTGTAGGGGAGGTTGTGTAGGGGAGGTTGTGTAGGGGAGGTTGTGTAGGGGAGGTTGTGTAGGGGAGGTTGTGTAGGGGAGGTTGTGTAGGGGACGTTGTGTAGGGGAGGTTGTGTAGGGGACGTTGTTTAGGGGAGGTTGTGTAGGGGACGTTGTGTAGGGGAGGTTGTGTAGGGGACGTTGTGTAGGGGAGGTTGTGTAGGGGAGGTTGTGTAGGGAGGCTGTGTAGGGGAGGTTGTGTAGGGGAGGTTGTGTAGGGGAGGTTGTGTAGGGGAGGCTGTGTAGGGGAGGTTGT